TTTTAAAATTTTCATTACCAGAAAAAGTATGATTACTCAATATGTTGATGTTTAAAAATTTCTATTAAAAAAGTATGATTAATACTTAGTCATTGGAGTACTTGCTTAGTAATAGTCTTATTACATCATAATTTACTAGTACAACCTGCTTAACTATAGTCTTCCTATATCATAATTTACTAGTACAACCGGTAGAGTGTCAATTAAATTATATATACATTAAAATGTTTTGAGTAATATATAACACGAAATGAAATCAAAGTGACGACATTTTGTGAAGATAAATTATCTATATCTAAGATGAAAAGTATAAGAATACAACTTACATCAGCTTGAGGAATTTATTAATTTTAGTCATGCAACATACAATAATTCTATCAGTGCATTCCATTTTTTGATTCATGAAAGACATTAGTATCTAGCTAGAAAGTTAAGAAATATTACCAACGTTTCATTTTTTTATTTTTTTTTTGGTTCATTTAACATCATTAGTAGATCATATTGGAAGTTTTGGCTAGATGAAGAAAATGCAGCAGTAAATCTAATATTATGCAATACATATTTGAAATATGACATTATCTATCATTATATAAAAAGAATAACATTTTTACAAATTTAGAAACATTTTTCCGCCAAAATCATTAAATATATCCTATATATAGTAATTGTTGGACAAATCTGAATAGGCAAAAAAATCGGCTCATTAATTGTGTAAGAATTTGTTTCTCTTTTTCTTGTTTTTTAGTTTATCAAAATCGTTGTTTGACAGTAAATATTTGTATTTCTTTTTCTTATTTTTAGTATAAATCTACACGAGTTTATCTCTTCTGTTACAAAATCCCATTGCATACATCTCACGTGTCTAAAAAATCTCATCACTTATCTATACAGATTTAAAAAAATAAAATAAAATAGAAACCAATTCATAATTACTACTAGAAATCCATTATCTTTAAAAAGAAAAATAAAATAAAATATAAACCAATTCATAATTACTACTAGAAATCCTCTATTCATTATCTACTTTAAGAAACCTAATTTTCATCGGTCTAATTACTAATATTTTTACAAATATTATAAGCTAACCATACAAAAAAGTATAATAATAATTTTGAAATGGTGTATAATCATTTTTTTTTATATTCTCTTATACAAAATAATTTTACATTGTTTGACCCCAAATCTTTAATTTATAATTATTAAGTATTGTTTATCTTCCTCTTTAATTTATAATTATTATTTTTTTCTTCTTCTTTTTAAATAGGATCAATAGTAGTTTCCACTTCCACCATTGACTGACTCAAACTCGAGGACTATTTATAATATTGTTACCGTGCATCGCACGGGGTACACACTAATAATTGAAAAAATACATAAAATATATTTATTTCATCCTTATCTTCTAAAAGAAAACAAAAGTAAAGACCAAAGAGTTTGGGCAATTGCCTGAACAACTTTTGTCCCTTTTTTAAAAAGAATTATTTTCCGCTTATAGATTGGTATATTGGAGTGCTCTTTATTTATTTATTTCTTTTGCTCGGTAGCCGACTTGGAATTTTACAAGCAAACATGTTCTAGATGGCTGTCAGTGTCATTGTTAGTACTAAAATGGACCATTAATTGCTTAGTAGGGTATACAGAAGTTTATCGAGTTTAAACATGGACTAAAGTAAGGTTATCGTCCAAAATCATTATTTAAAAAATCACATATAAACTAATTCTTTGAAGTTACCACAAAAGCATACAAACCATAGCGAAATTTATTTTAAAGAAATGTTATAAGTACATAATATTGTACATAAAAGTGTACGTAACACTCACATTGAGTGAGACCGACCAAAAATAAAAAATCAAGTGGACTCCACTCAATTTTATTTTATTGTATTATATTTTCTTTGTTTTTTCTATGTGTTTTGTTTGTTTTTGTTATTGCAGACCTTTTAGTTTCAATTTTTGTCAATTGTTTGAATTAGTTGCTCCATTTATTTTCTGATTTGTAATTTTAGTATTTATTTCAATTTTAGTTTTATTAATATATATATTTTTTTTTTAAATGACAGCCATATATAGTTGGAAGATAAATCTTCGAAATTTTAGTATTTTACAAACTTTAATGCTTATAAAAAGCCCATATCACTAGGAATGGAATGCGATTTTCCAATACATTAATTAAACTGGCCAGGCACTCTAATGAATGTTGTACGTTAGTTGGTACTACTTGGTAGCTGAAAACATTTAATTTAAATTGTAAATCTTAAAGGTGCATAATTTAACTCTTAAGTAAGCGAAAAAATCGTTGAAAATATTAAATGGTTAAAATTACTCTATTACTTACTCTCTTGAAGTTTATTTATGACAATTGACAAATGTTATTAATTGTTTATTTCATTAATTTTAATATACAAGTATGAATAATTGTTTACTTTTATGAACATACATGGATCAACATATAATCTTAA